TCCTACCATCGTAGAGTAACGGTTACTGTAAAATTTTCTGATGGTGAGGCTGGGCGATGTCTCAAGGCAGAGCCGCCTCGCCTCATTCGGCTTACATCACTTGCGTAACGCTCGTTAATTCTCGCGCTGTCTTACGTAACGTGGGCTACAAGCCGCAGCGGCTCACACACGCAGCGTCCACGTCTGGTGACCAGGCGGCTGCGCACATAAATCTTCGGCTCGACGTGTCGTATGAAGTCACTGAAACCATGTTTATGGCCCTTTATGGGCCACCAGGACACGCACAGTCCTCAGCGCAGCCATTGTTCGGAGCACGCGTTTTTTGTTGCTGTGCCACCGTGCCGTCGCACACAACTACCACACTGACCGGGTGATTATGATGTCCGGTCGGCTAATGAGGCCCCGACGAATTTTTTGGGTAGAAAAGTGAACCTCTCAGAGTTCAGTGGACTGTTTACTTGGCGCTTACTGAAGATGGATATTATTGTACAGCGCGCATTCTAACCCTTGCGCGTTTTTTAGACCTGAGAACTTTTCTCCAAAAAGTCAACCTGTTGCTTCCGTTTTTGTAGGATATGCTTTTTATTTGCTACTAGAATGATTATTGATTTGCTGGTTCACCGCTTATTGATGTGGATGTTTATATATTGGCTTCCTGAACATTTGAGCGATATTGTGTTCGATACAATTTAGCGAATTGAGCTTTCTGAGTTGCGTCATGCACTAGAATTCGTTTCAGAAATGTCGAGGAATCGGAATGCGTACGGAAGCTACCACTGGAAGCCTACCCTAATACTGATGTCCTTATTTTTAATATTTGCTTGCAATTATGAATTCTTGGTGAATAAATGTTTGGCTGTGCAGGGAGTTGGACCAGGGTCGAATTGCCTGTTAATACTGCTCCAATGAGGGGAGCCGTGTATGGGTTTTAGGGAGTCGTATTTGGATTGGAGAGGGGTCGTACTTGGATGATTTGCGGTGGGGGGGGGGAGGAGTCGTGGAGGTGCGATACGGCAATAGTGGTCCCGATTTCAGAATTTTGATCGGCTTGTTGCTTGACCCAGGTCCCGATCTGCGGGCCTTGTAGCTGTTGTTGGTGGCTGTTCCTCTCACTTTAGGGATTCTCGAGTAGTTCGTGCCAGGTACTGTAATTAGGGTGCCATTGTTAATATTAGTAAGAGGGACACTCAGGGCGGAAAGGTAGCATAACTTGTAGTGCACTTGCCCGGTAAGCAACAAGCGCGGGTTCGAGTCTCGTGTAGGGCGAAAGTTCCGCACAACTCAGCTTTCTTGTGAAAAGTATCGGCATTTGGACACTATTCCTCATCACGGGCAAGTTTGCCGAGTTTGATCGGAAATCGGAATTCGGTGATTATTAGCTGTCGTACTACTGCTAGATATTTCGTAGTATTACCATGAGTTGCTAGATATTCGCTAACCGACGCTGTTCAGTGGATAACAGTTTCGCACTACCGTGAGATTTGCCAAGCTCTTATCGGAAAATCGGAATTCAGATTTCAGTTCAGTATGCGGACTCGATTCATTTGCGAGTTCGGTGGCTGTTATCGATTAATATCGGAAATCGGAAGGCGGTAGTTTGTCATACCCATTTCAATCCATTTCCATAGTTGTGCCACTTCTACGGACTAATATCGGAACTTGGAAATCAGTAAACTGTACATGGCCGTTTTTCTAATCGGTTGCTCGTATTTCATTCAATTCACAACATCCTAGATGATCATGAAAAGCGAATATAAAGAACCCGTTTTTTCAATTGATGAGTTTCTAAAATACATATCTGTAGCGCTCTTTACACTGTAAATGACTTAAGACCTCTACTTTGTCCAGCACCTACGTGTGATTGACAGATTGTGATATGATAACAGCCTTTATAAGTAAAGTTCATAATTGACACTGTGTACATGCAAATTAAATCCGCAACAATCAATAACAACTGACTCAAACTAAATTGTGATTCTCGTCACGTTTCCGTAATTGCACAACACAGTCGTACTTAGGAGGTGATACGGTCAAACCGAGAATACGCTGTGTTGACAACGGCGCACCGCTGGTGCCGTTCGTTTCAGGCGGTCGAAAATCGAATCGCTTCAACAGATTGCTGAAGATCAGAAACAATTCCGCCCTGGCCAACGATTCGCCGAGACATTGACGTTTTCCGACAGAAAACGGCAAGAATTCGTCGATTCGACGCAGCTTGCCGTCGTCGGTGAGAAATCGTTCCGGTCGGAACGTTTTCGGCTCGGGAAATACACGTTCATCATTCATGAGAATAGAGATCTGGGGGATTACAAGGGTTTTTCGAGGGAAATGGTAGCCGTCAATCGTCACATCCTCGCTGACCGTACGCAGAAGATTGATCGGCAGAATATTGGCGACACGTTGGATTTCCTGAAAAAAAATTGATTCCTTGAAAAATTATTCAACAAAAGAAAATGCTTGATGTTCTGGAAATTCGAAAAAAAATTAAATAAATTTAAGAGGTAAAGTCAAAAGAATAAATATACAATCGGACTTATCAGAGTGGTAATGTCTCGGATTACGCCATGCACTTATTTCCTAACAGAGAACATTGATGCGATTCATTTCTGGCAACCATTATGTGCTCACATCAAACACTTAGGAAAGCTCAGCCATCTTCTCCCTCCCGCTCTCCCGGGAAAGTTATTGCAAGACTTCAATGAAACTAAAGTATGAAAACTTCACCGAACTCGCCTCTTACCTTAGTTGAATTTTTTGAAACATGATTGGGTCAGCAATATGTTTTTCCCTTTCCAGTAACCCAACAATTTGAGTTTTGTGGTTTAATTGAAACAATATAAGGTCAGCAATAAGTTTTTCCCTCTTCAATAATCCAATAACTAGAATTTTATAGTCTCATAGAGTTTAATTCATAGTCGCCTGTGAATGCAAGAATCCTTTTTCAAGGCTAGCTTCAAAAGAGCTAAGAAATTCAGTATAAGTGGCATGGAACCCATGCGCATCTCTGCGATTCAGGGCAAGTATATACGAGCTGATGGTTTATTCGTGGATGCTGAGCTTCTGCTCGAGTTCCGATATACTCGAGTGCTTCAGTTCACTCTCTTTCTTTCCTTTATCTTAGATAATATCGCTACTGTTATTAGCTAGAGAATCCCGCTGCAAAGCGTGCAAAGAGTTAGAATGCAAAGGCTAGCAATTCCTCGTTTAGTTGTAGGACAGTCTGCATTACGGGTGGGGAGAGCTTACGGGGTGGGTTACCGAGTGCGGAGTTCTTCGCGCTCCTGAGCGTGGTCGTAGGGGACGAAAGATTGGTT